ACATTGGAAATATGTGTTTTCCAATGGTCTTAGGTGACCCCTGTGAAAGGTTATTAGACCCCCACAGGGGTCGCAACCCACAGGTTGAGAACCGCTGGTCTATTGATAACATCATGTGGTTTTTTTTGTTTTTTTTATCCTCACCTGAGGATATTTTTCCATTTTTTGTACAGATAGAGTGGGAGGGAGAGAGAGGTAGGGAGAGAGAGAGAGAAACATCGACGTGAAGGGACACATCGAGTGGCTGCCACCCGCACGACCAACCAGGGCCGGGGACAAACTGCAACCGAAGTACGTGCCCTTAGCGGGAACCGAACCCGGGTCTCTCCGGACCGCAGGCCGACGCTCTAACCACTGAGCCAAACTGGCCAGGGCCATCATGTGGTTTTTATCTTTCATTTTTGTTTATGTGGCATATGACATTTATTGATTTGCAAATATTGTACCAGCTTTGCATCCCTAGGATGAATCCCACTTGGCCATGGTGAATAATTTTTTAATGTATTGCTGGATCCGATTTGTTAATTTTTTGTCAAGGCTTTTGGCATCTATGTTCGTCAGGGATATTGGCTTGTAGTTTTCTCTCTTTGTAGTGTCTTTATCTGGTTTTGGAATTCGAATTCTGCTGGCCTCGTAAGATGAGTTTGGAAGTCTTCCTTCTTCTTGAATTTTTTGGAATAGTTTGAGGAGCATGGGTGTTAGTTCTACTTTAAATGTGTGGTAAAACTCCACCATGAAGCTGTCCAGGTCTGGGCTTTTGTTTGCTGAGAGATTCTTGATTACATTTTCAATTTCCTTAGTTGTTATTGGTCTGTTCAAGTTTTCTATCTCTTCTCAGTTCAGTTTTGGGAGACTATGTGTTTCTAGAAATTTGTCCATTTCACCCAGATTGTCCAATTTGCTGGCATATAATTGTTCATAGTATTTGTTAATGATCCTTTGTATTTCTGTGGTGTCAGTTGTTACTTCTCTTTCATTTCTGATTTTGTTTATCTGGGTCTTCTTTCTTTGTTTCTTGGTGAGTCTAGCTAAGGGTCCATTAATCTTGTTTATCTTTTCAAAGAACCAGCTCTTTGTTTCATTGATCTTTTGAATTGTTCTTTTAGTCTCTATGTCATTTATTTCTGCTCTGATCTTTACCATTTCTTTCTTTGTACTTGCTCTGTGTTTTTCTTTTTGTTTGCGTTCTAGTTCTTTAAGTTATGAGGTCAGATAGTCAATTAGAAATTTTTCTTGTTTCCTGAGGTAGGCCTGTAGTCTATGATCTTCCTTCCCAGGACTGCTTTTGCTGCATCCCATAGATTTTGTGTTGTTCTGTGTTCATTTTTATTGGTTTCCAGGAAGGTTTTTCTTCTGATTCATTTTTGAAAGATTGTATGTTTCTATAAATTTATCTATTTCCTCCAGGTTGTCCAATTTATTTGGCATATAATTTGTTACAGTATTTTCTTACAATCCTTTGTATTTCTGTGGTGTGAGTTTTCACTTCTCATTCATTTCTGATTTTATTATTTGGGTCTTCTTCCTTCCTTTCTTCCTTCCTTCCTTCCTTCCTTCCTTCCTTCCTTCCTTCCTTCCTTCCTTTATTTTATTTGATGAGTCTGGTTAAAGGTTTATCAATTCTGTGTAACTTCTCAAAGAATAGGCTCTTGGTTTCATTAATCTTTTGTATTGTTTTTTTAAAGGCTTTTTCTTTTATATCTTCTCTGATCTTTATTATTTCCTTCCTTCTCACTTTGGGCTTTGTTCTTCTTGTTCTATAGTATCTTTAAGTATAAGAATAGATTAATTGAGATTTTTCCTGTTTATTGAGGTAGGGCTGTATTGCTATAAATTTCTGTCTTTGGCTTTACCCCATATATTTAGGACATTGTGTTTTAATTTCCATTTGTCTCAAGGAATCTTTTGATTTCTTCCTTGATCTTGTTGTTAAGCCATTCAGTGTTTATTAGTAGGTTATTTAGCCTCCATGTGTTTGTGTGTTTTTCAGTTTTATTCTTATAATTGATTTATAATTTTATAGCATTGTGATCCAACAAGACGCATTATATGACTTCAATCTTCTTCAATTGGTTAAGACTTGTTTTGTGACCTAATATGTAATCTATCCTGGCAAATGTTCCATGTGTGCTTAAAAAAATGTATATTGTTGCTTTGTGGTAAAATATTCTAAAAATATCAATTGAGTCTATCTGGCCTAATATGTCTTGTAAAGCTGCTGTTTCCTTGTTGATTTTCTGTCTGGATGATCTGTCCACTGATGTCAGTGATGTGGAACAGGTTCAATTTAGTAGAGCTCTGATACCTGCTGAGTCTACCCTTTGGATGTATCACTAGTGGAGCGAATTGGATGGTACTCTAGTGTGGTGTGAATTTGACCACTGGATGTATTGGTTCTGAGGCCTCTTGGGAGAGGCTCTGGTGCAGGCTAAGTTCAGCTGCTGCTGTGCCTGGCCTGGAGCCACCAGGTAATAGCTACAAAGTAATCTGCAGATAGTTGCCACCTGTGCTGGGTTGGAGGTCCCTGGGAATGGCTAAGCTGTGAACCAAGGCCAGTTGCCACCAGTGCCAGGCTTGAGGGTTTGTGAACATTTGTGAGATTTTAGGAAAGTCTGCCATGAGCTGAGACAGGCCATTTGTGTGGAAGAGATGCTGGAAGCAGCTGGGATGGCCCTGTGTGTTGGATGGGGTGGGGTCTCAGACTTGGCACCTGCCTGCCCTGCAAACTGTGTAGGGGAGGGTTCTATAAAGGAATAGTGGTGCCTGCCAGCACATCGTTCTGAAGATAGCTGCCCCTTCAACCCTCACCCTGAAGCCAGACAATTCAATTCCTTTCTGTAGAACTCTGGCCCTTTGCAAGCTGTAGCCCCACACTGGAGTCAGAGTGAGTGAGTCCATCAGTGAGTCAGTCTGCACACAGGGCCTTCCAGAGAGATTCCTGGGACCCCAGAGGCACTCCATCTCAGTCAGCTGCGATTCCCACTGATTTTCACAGCCAGAGTTATGGAGAGTTATCTTCCTGGCACTGGAGTCCAAGGCTGGGGAGCCATATTTTATCTGCCCCTGCAGTTCTTATTATATCTCCATAATAGCTTTAAGTGTGAAAATCCATCACGCTTCCAAACATTCTTGTCACTAAATTTTCTTGATAGAGTTCAGTCACAGTGCATGAAAAAATGAACTTCCAGGGAGTGCGGCCAGCAGACCTTTGGATGTACTGTGATCCCTTAGACTTTTGCTCTATGTATATGTTTTGTGTTTGTTTTTATATAAGTGACATCTTCTACGAGCTATCAACTATTGCTCAGTCAAGTACAGTAGCCCCTTCTATTTCATGGAAGATGTGTTCCAAGACCCCCCAGTGGATGCCTGAAATCATGGATAGTACCTAGCCTTATAGATAACTATGTTTCTATGATAAAATTTTAATTTATAAATTAGGCACAGTAAGAGATAAGAAATTCATTCTTACCATAGATCTTAGCCACCTCAGCATACAATTATTTTTCTTTTTTTATTAAGTCATGAACTTTCACTTTTTTCACTTAAAGGAAGTGCTTATAGATTCTCTTAGGAATATTCCAGTTGCCAGCATAACTACTCTTGTTCTTCAAGGCCATTATTGAGTAAAATAAGGGTCACTTGAACACAAGTATTATAATACTACAACAGTAGACCTGATAGCTGGGTGGCTACTAAGTGATTAATAGGCAGAAAGTGTGTTCAGCGTGGAGACTCTGAACAAAGGGATGACTCACATTCTGGGTGAGAAAGAGCAGGACAACATGCAATTTCATCATGCTACTTAGAATGGCACACAATTTAAAATTTATGAATTGTTTATTTCTGGAATTTTTCATTTATTAATTTTGGACCATGATTGACGGCAGGTAAGCGAAACCACAGCACAACTATGGAAAAATGGGAAGGGGGTACTGTATTTTAAAGTGTTCTTATTTATTTCTATTACAGAAACAGGACCTCCACATATGTACTGAACTATCACACCAATGAAGCATAAGCAGGGCACTGAAAAAGAAATATGAACACTTATAAGCCTGCTTCTACTCCATAGGCATACAATATACATGGTATGCTAAAATATAAGTGCAGTCCCAAGATGACAAAAATGCCAATAATGCTTAGGATAGTAAAAATGCAGGACTGTACATATTTGCCCTGACTATCCTGTCATCTTGAAAATTTGCTAAAAAATAATTATGGTTCCTTTCTTTGTCTCAATTGCATCAGGTCTTTGAAGTCTTGAAGGGCTGACATACTAATTACTTCCATAACTCTAAGAAATTGGGAACACCATGCAAATTTAACCAATGACCCATATGTTTACTTTTCTTCCATTTCAACTTTCATTACCAATATATTTAGCTTAAAACCAAATGGTTAGTGCCATGTCAAGAAAAGATGAATTTATGGTATATTCAGGGGCTTGGGACTTATCTGCTTATTATGTCTAGAGAACTTCTGATTACCAATTCTCAGGAGTATTTTATATGCTAATCTTGGAATATCATCAAAGAGATGTTTAATAAAGAACATTCATACAAACAATTAACACTTATCAGACATCTGTTTATTTCCAGGCTTTATGCTAGTTATGGGAGACTCCAGTAAGTAGAATGTGTCTAGGATGTTGAGTTAGTGAGCCTGCCAACCTCAGTTTTTTCCTTATTTTGATCAAATGTCTATATTTATTTAATATTTTTGTGTCTTCACCAGTATCATTCATTTGCATCTCAATAATCTAAATATTAGTTATTTTATTTTATATAATATCCTTTATTTGATACCTTGAATTTTTCTTGGTCAGGCTTAGAGATCTGTTCAGTGGTTTGGATCCATATTTGTGGTCATGCCATGTGTGAATGAATAACTTCTATCACCTCTACATCTGTCTGACACCAAAATACTCTCAACATTTACAGACAAATTTAAAGTATAAGTCACCAATTATAAACAAACACACACAACCTCTTACTTACCTGTGGCCATTGAATCTTTACCGGTTTCACTAAAAATAGTGTTATTTCAGCTACAGTTAGAAATATACCAATCACTGAAAGGACAGAACAGTAGATGTTTGTCTTTATGGTGTACTTCAACTGGAATAGATACAAAATGTCAACTAGTTATACTTCTACTAGTCCAAACAAGCTGGAATGAAGTTATCAGCCTGCAATACTGGCAAGTATTGTTATCATTTCTGACCTTTTCAGAATCAGTTACTCTATGGGTTCCCCAATTTCTAAATTTATCAAGTTCGCAATAAGACTTAAATTTTTTTTTTGCATACCTGCATTTCCTTCACTTTCTCAACACAAAATTCTTTTTTAAAACTAATTAATTTTTGTTACAGATGTCTCTCTCCCGCCTCCCCCCAGCATTATTGTCTATGTCCTTGTTTACACATACATGCATAAAAGTTCTGTGGTTTATCTCTTCCCTCCCCCCACATCCACCTCTTCTGAGGTTTGTCAGTTTGCACCCCACTTCCATGTCTCTGGGTCTGTTTTGTTCCTCAGCTTGTTTTGTTCATTATATTCCACAAATAAGTTAGATCATGTGATATTTGTCTTTCTCTGATTGGCTTGTTTCACTTAAGATAATACTGTCCAGGTCCTTCCAAGTCGTCTCAAAGGATAAGAGATCTTTCTTTCTTATGGCTGCATAGAATTCCATTGTGTACTACAGCTTTTTTATCCACCCATCTATTGATGGACACCTGGGCTGTTTCCGGATCTTAAATACAAAATTCTTAAATGCGGAATCACAGTAGTGATTGATACTTTAATATCTTTCCAAACAATGCAAAGACCTTAGACTACTTCACTCTACCCCTACTTTAGCCTATATCCTATTGTGTCTTTTGCTTTCTTTACATATTTTGAAATTTACAGTGTTATTTTTAATGTTCATACAATGAATATTTATTTATATTTACCTGTATATCTGCCTATTTCTTTGATTTTCCACTGTCTATAACATAACATTCCAAATAAATTAAACCTCTAAATGTAAAATAAAATTTTCAGATCCTGTAAAGATTTCCATTTCTGTCATTGGGGTGAATTTTGGACTTCACGATTATGTAATATATATTGCAAAATTACTTTTGTGTAATTATAATTCATTTTGCATATGTAACACATATGCGTAATAATTTTTTTTTCTGGCTACATTCACTCAATGTTGTCAGATTCATTCTTATTATGGTGTATCACTATAGTTTGCTCCTTTGTATTGCTATAAAGAAGTGTTATATTTATTTGCCATGATTTAGTAATTTATATAATGTTTACCTATAAAAAGAAAGGAGGGCAAAGTTACTGAAAAAAGACATGAAAAAGGCTTCTGAAATGTTTGACTTTGGAGGGGATTCCCGTGATAATTAGTTGAGACAGGTATTATGTTTCATATGTTTTTGAATTTGTGCTAAATTTAATTCAACAATATGAAGGTGAATTAAAGAACACATAGAAAAGAAATTACTGAAATTTAAGAAACACTGGTTAGTTAAATGGTAACAAAGTAATATTTTTTGGAGGGGGATTACTTTGAAAATTTTAAAATATTTTAATTGAATAATCCTGAAATTACCACATAGTGAAGTTTGAGAGCTGCAACCAATCTGATGAAGCTTCAATCTGATGAAGCTATAAAAATAGCAGATAAAGTCCCAAGAAAATAGAGAAGGAAATAATAAAAGTGAGAATAAAAAGTAATACCATAGAAAAACATACGAGAGAGGATTACAAAACCTAAAAGGTAGTTTTTTGAGGTAGTAAACTTAATATAACCCAGGTGTGCTGACTAGAGAAATAGAGAAAACAAAATAATATCAGAAATATGAAAAATGAGATTCTGTAGACATAAGATTTATGCTTATGGTATGATGAGAAAGTTTATGGTGGACTAATGTTTCCTGAGAGGAACTAGAAAAAGAGGATACAATACATACAAGTATTTCATTTAGCGAAAAGCATCAAAAACTGGTGAAGCAGCCCTGGCCGGTTTGGCTCAGCAGTTAGAGCGTTGGCCTGTGGTCTGGAGAGACCTGGGTTCGGTTCCCGCTAAGGGCATGTACTTTGGTTGCAGTTTGTCCCTGGCCCTGGTTGGGTCGTGTGGGTGGCAACCACTCGATGGGTCCTTTTCACATCGATGTTTCTCTCTCTCTCTCTCTCCCACTCTATCTGAATAAAATATCAAAAAATGTCCTCGGGTGAGGATAAAAAAAAAAAAAAAAGAATAAAAAACTGGTGAAGCAGTTAAGAATATGCAGGGACCAGGACTCCCGAGAGAGAACCACAGAGAGGTGCGCAGGTGTTCTACAAGTAACTTTTCCTTGGGAACATTTGCCAGGACAAGAGGCTGAGCTTTCCTATTTTGCCTGAATAGAGGGCTATTGCTAGGGAGCAGAGGAAGCACCATAACTTTTGGTGTTCTTGCAGGGCTGGAAAGGTACATTTGCCAACCCGAAAAGACAAGCTTCTGAGGAAAAGATAGGAAGGGTCAAAGAAATGAGCCAGCAGTATGACCAATTTTCTCTTAAGATACTAACCAGATTTTTAAACTGGTCATTAGGCTACTTACGAAAGCATCTGAAAAACAGAGAAGAGTTTCTGGCCATATAATTGTGCTGAGGAAGCATCAATCAGGACTGCCAGGGAAGGTTTCTTGTAAACACATTAGGTTCTTAATTGCAAACCCTGGCTGTGTCATGCAAGTGAAAATGAATGAGAAGTATATGGATTCTATCCAAACTGCCGCCCAGCCTCAATACCAGTTTCTCAGCCTAGGACAGGAATGGGTAAACCCTTTCTGGAAGAACTGAGCATCAGCTGACATTACTATAATTTTTTTTTAATACACAATTTCTGACAATCAGTACTTACTAGACAAGTTAAAAGATAAGATTACATTTTTTTTTTTTTTTTTTTTATCCTCACCCGAGGACATTTTTCCATTTTTTGTTCAGGTAGAGTAGGAGGAGGAGAGAGGAACAGAGAGAGAGAAACTTCGACGTGAAGGGACACATCGAGTGGCTGCCACCCGCACGACTGACCAGAGCCGGGGACAAACTGCAGCTGAGGCACACGCCCTTAGCGGGAACCGAACCCGGGTCTCTCGGGACCGCAGGCTGACGCTCTAACCAGTGAGCCAAACCGGCCAGGGCAAGATTACATTTTTTAAAAATACTAGGAAAAACCAACAAGAATAGTCTCATAAGTGATCCAGTTACTTGAAACTTATAAGGACTTTAAAATATTTATTTATTTATTTATTTATTTTTAATCCTCTCTTGAGGACATTTTTCCATTTTTTGTTCAGACAGAGTGGGAAGGGGAGAGGGGGGAGAGAGAGAGAGAGAGAGAGAGAGAGAGAGAGAGAGAGAGAGAGAGAAACATCGACATAAAAGGGACACATCGAGTGGCTGCCTCCCCCACAATCCAACCAGGACTGGGGACAAACTGCAACCGAGGTACATGCCCTTAGCGGGAACCGAACCCGGGTCTCTCTGAACTGCAGGCCGATGCTCTGACTGCTGAGCCAAACCAGCCAGGGCTAAAATAACTATTTATTAATATATTGAAGAAAATAGTAAAAAATTAAGCAGACAGATGAACTGAGAGAATTTCACAGAAGAATTGGGATCTAAAAACAGGATCAAATGGAAGTTCTAGAACTGGGAAAATACACTAATTAAAACGGAGAACTTCATAACTGCTTATGAGACACAACAGCATTACTGATCTGGATGGCGGGACACTAGAAAACGATGAAATGAATGTAAAGAGAGAAAAAAATAAAAGGAAAAAAAGGTGACAAAACGTGGGGCATAGTGAAAATATTTAACATACAGCCAGTGTTAAGGAGTCCTGGAAGTAGAGAAGAGAAAGGCAATCTCGCAAAAGCAGTATTTGAAAAGAAAATGGCTAACAATTTTTCAAATTTGATTTTAAAATATCAATCCAGATATTCAATTCCTTTTAGATATATACTTGGCTAATCCTAAATAAGATAAATAGAAAACATACTACCTCTAAGTGCATCATAATAAATCTGTTGGAAGGTACAAGTAACAGGCAAACTGTAACAGTCGTGTGAGGAAAAACACACACTGTGCTAAAGGAGCAACGCTAACAGAAACGTCACAGTGTTAAAGATGGGAGCCCGAGCACAACAGAATGACCTTTTGAAAGTGCTGAAATAAAATGTCCACCTAGAATTTTATATGAATTAAAAAAAATCTTTGGGGGAAAATCACAACATAAGGTTGTTTTCAGACTAACAAAAGCTGAGAGAATTATTGCCTGGAATGTTTGTGCCAAAAGAAATACTCAGGGGAATTTCTCAACCAGAGGGTAAGTAATCCCAGACTGAGTTGCTGGCGGAGATGAAAAGAAACAAAGGGTAGATAAATGGGTAAATCTAAATAAACAGCATGTGTTACTTTACTTTGATTTGCTGGGTTTGTAGAGTAGTTGCTTATTATCTTGTCCTCAATCAAGACCCTTGCTCTTGACGTTTTTTCCCTGGCCTTCCTAGCCCAAACAGCTGTTCCTTCTGCCATATTCTCAACAATGGTTAATTAGGTGTTGAATTCTGGAGCTAAGCTGTCTGGGTTCAAAGTTCAACTCTGTCACTTAATATCTAGTCTAAATCTAGGTCTAGTTTATACTCTTGGTAGCTCAGTTTCCTTATATATAAAATGGGTATGTAATATTGCCCATCCTGATGGGGTTTGTTATGAGATAATATACAAAAACTGAATGAGGCATCTGGTACATAGAAACTATTCAATACATCTTAACCAATTATTCTAATCATACATTTTTCTCTCTCTCGCTGCTTCAAAGTACTCATAGATACAGGTTGTCTACCACATTTGACATCTTGATTTGAAATGAATGACATATCCTGTTTAAATACCCACTTCTGATTTTCCGGTTTGTTTCATGCATTCTGTATTATTTTTATGTTTTAAGAAATTAGCAAAGAGGGGTTGGGGGGGAGATAAACCACAGAACTTATGTGCATGTATGCATGACCAATGGTCATAGACAACAAACCTGGGGATGGGGAGGAGGATGTCAATGGGGGGAAAAGGAGAAACATCTGTAACAAAAACAAATAAATAAAAATAAATAAATAGAAGCTGTATAAACTTATAAATAGAAATTAACAAAGAATTTTGTTGGAGTAATTCATTTCTAAAATAGTATATAGCAATATTTTACATGTAAGTATTTTGGGTAGATTTTTACTTTTTAAGAGGCAGTGAAATCTCCTCCTTACTAATATCTTTGCTTTTGACAAATTAAATTTTTATCTTTGAAATTGCTTCAACTATTCTGACTTACCAACTTTGGGGAACGCCTTTTCTCTGCTTCTATTGCAAAAATTCCTGATACGACATACTGAGAACAAAAAGAGGTACACGTAAGTATCTTTTAAAAATGATTTATAGATTAGATTTTGTTCACTTCTCAAGACTCTAAATATTCACAATGATTGTTGAGAAGCTAGATCTAATAATAATTTAAATAACTTATAATTTTCTAAAAAACATTATAAAAAGCCTTTTTTTAAATGCAAAATGCATTTTAACATGTTAGATATGGTATAAGATGAAATCCCTCAATTTCCAAAATTCCTAGAAGTTGTGTGTTAAACTCACTTCCCTGCCAGTACCTGGTGGTCTCTGCTTTCAGACTGTAATAGAATTCTGATGCTGACTAAAGGTTAGCTCAGATTTCACAAGTTAAGGGCATAGTCCCTAATAACACTGACCTCACGTCCGACACCAGCTACGTGCTTGGTGGTTTTCAGACAACCTGTCCTTCTGACTAACAGGCTACAAAATATGGGGGTTCTACTACCTATCTCAGGTTTGATAATTATACACACATTTATTTGCCTCTTTATTTACTTATACCCTTAGTTTAAAATGGAATTTAGATGACTTGCATAAGTACATGCATCAGGTTTATAGATTAACAAGCTGAAATAATTGATAAGTGAAGATACCAGGGATAATAAAGGTAAATAAGTAGCTGAGGCCAGGGCTAATTTCAATCCTGTGAAATTGTATTGTGGGCCCCTGACAACTGATGGGACTGAATAGAACTGATCTTCACTTTTGTGTGTGTATGTGGTACGTGCCCCTAGTGGGAACTGAACCCGGGACTCTCTGGTCCGCAGGCCAACACTCAACCACTGAGCCAAAGTGGCTAGGGCTGATCTTTACTTTTGACTCTGAGGTTACTGGTAGCTTTTTTACTGTGTGGTAACATCATAATAATATGGCATGTAAATACATGGAACCCACGTGTGGCTTATCACATTGGGTAAACAATGCTGCTAACCTCCTCTTGGATTCCCACCATAACTCTGAGGCCAGATTCAGTTAATCATTGTTTCAGGTTGAAAACTCCTACTGCCCTTGTTCTGTCAGCTACTGTCACATTATTATGCTTCTTTTTTGCAAGAAAACTCAATGAAAGAGTTGCCTAAACTTGATCCAATTCTTAAATCCACTCCAACCAGGTTTTTAGCTCCACTTTGATAATGAACTCTTCTTGTCAAGTTCACTTATGACCTCAGTATTGCAAAATCCAGTGGCAGTTTTACATCTTATTTCATCTATCAGCTCCCTCCTCCTTGACTCTGCTTTCTTTAGTTGGCTTCCAGGATAGCTCACTTTCTGTTTTTTTTTTCTCATTAATTTTCTTTGCTGGTCCCTTATCTCCTATCTGAATTACTCATGTTGGAGGTACTCCAGGACTCAGGCTGTGGTCTTCCCTACTCTACCGACACAAGATCAGGTCACACCTCGATAGTGACCTCTTGTCTCACAGTGTTAAATACCATCATTATGCCAGTGACTCCACATTTACACTTTTTTTTCTCAAACGCCAGACTCATGTATACACAAGTAGAATACTTGATATCTCTACTTGATATCTTTAAGAAAGATTTCAAACACAATGTACCCAAGAGCACCTGAAATTCCATCCCCTTCAAACTTATAGCCTTACCCATTTCAGAAAATGGCAAATCCATTCTTCTAATTGCTTGACCCAATATTTTGGAGTCTTCTTTACCTCCCCCCCACCCCACCCCCCGCCCCATGCCATACCAACCGATCAGGAAATACTTTGGGCTCTATTTAAAAAATATATCCAAAATCAACTACTTTTCATTTTATTATCTCCTGGTTTGAGCCACTATCATCAGTCACCTGGATAGTTGTAATCAGATTTTAAGAAAGTATCCTTGCTTTTACCTGTGCTCATTTATGATCTTTTAATGGTTCTTTAAAACTTCAGTCAAATCATGTCATTCCTCTGTTCAACACCCTGCAGTAGCTTTCATTATTATTCAGAGTACCAGTCTATGCAATGATACAAGTACTTAGATTAACACACCACCTATCATGTAGCTGACCTCTTTTCCTACCAATCTTTTCTTAGCTCAGTTTGCTCCATCCTAACTGGCCTCTTTGCTGTTCAGTAAACCTTCTAGATTTGCTCTCAGTCTAGCCTTCTTGTACACTCCCCTCCAACTATTCCTGTGATTTATCACTTCAAGTCCTTTAAGTCTTTGTTCAAGTGTATTTTCTCAATAAAACTTGAATGTCCTATAAAAAGTTGAAAGTTGCTCTCATCTCATACCTCCTTGCCCTCTCTACATTCCCTCCCCCACCGTCCTTTTCATCTTTTAACACATTGTCTTTCACCAAAAGGTGATTATTACAAGAGTAGAAATTTTGTTCTGTTTTGCTGTAACTGAAGCCCTAGAACAGAGCCTGGCACACATCAATAAATATTTGCCAAGAAAATAAACTAAAAAAAATTTTTGTGAGATAGGCATTTATCATTGAGAAGCCTGGGAAAATGGAAGGAGGTGGAATATTTTACCCTGTGCTATAAAACAATACAAATCCCACTGACTCCTTCCACATTCCTCTTGGCCCATTAGCAGTCTGCTCTCTCTTCTTTTGCTGAACTACTTTAAAAAACCTCTTCTATTGCCCCAGCAAGTAAGCTCTTATTCTCAACTTGCCCATATTACTGGCAAACATGAGCTGTATTGGAAAGCTGAACAGTCACTAACCATTTGCTACTTGTCTAAAATACCCTTTGGAACACTTACCATTCCTTTGTTCCAACATTCATTTAACTAAAAAGAATCTTTGTATGGAATACTTTTGTAAATAAATTCATCTCTTTGAAATATTTTCCATAGATATAAGAATTCCTCGACAGCAGGGATGTATGTTTTTACAGATGATATCTCTGGCACATTGCCTGGCCACAGAAGCAGTCACTAAATATATTGAATAAATGAATGAATGTATTTACTCACAAAAAAGGATGCCCCAAATGGGTATCCTGATATCAAGACTATAGGCAGGTAGGTTAATAAAAATAGTTCATTTTGCCTGATATACAACTGCATCCAGATATGCCCCAGAGCAAAGTGGATCAGACCATTCATTACTTGGGCAGCCTGTAAAACAGGAATGTCATAATCAATTACCCAGACATAGCAAATTTCAAGAGAGTTACAAAATGGGTGATATAAAGGGAATGGGGATAATATAGCTTCCATGTTTCTGAATCATAAGTGTCACTTCCTCTACTCTGTTCAGCTCTAGAAGTTACTAAAATCTGTGGAGAAGCCAAGGTGATGGAGGAAGGTAGCAGTCACAAAAGAACTTGGAATCTCTACATGTAGCTCATGCAGGCATTATTCACGAGTTTTTGTTTTGTTTTGTTTTTAGCAACTTGTAGCGGTAGCTTGCTTTCAGGTGAATGAATGTGTCTGGGGGCTTATTTAAGGACCAGGGCAGAAGGACACACAGCTGGAGTCCTCTGGCTCAGAGAAGAACTGCAGTCTCTGCAGGCCCTCCTGCCTCTGCTTCCTCCTGTCTGTTATACTACCCTCAGTTCCATTTATTCTATGTGATATTATTCTACCATCCCCATCCCCCTCAACCAGTTGATGGGACAATGGTTTTCTTCTGATAGTAATTTCGACTTTTTTTTTTTTTTTAATCCTCACCCGAGGACATTTTTCGATATTTTGTTCAGATAGAGTGGGAGGGAGAGAGAGAGAGAGAGAAACATCGATGTGAAAGGGACACATCGAGTGGTCGCCACCCACATGACCCAACCAGGGCCGGGGACAAACTGCAACCGAGGTACGTGCCCTTAGCGGGAACCGAACCCGGGTCTCTCCAGACCGCAGGCCAACGCTCTAACTGCTGAGCCAAACCGGCCAGGGCATAATTTCGACTTTTAACACCATGAGGTGGGAGGGCCCACTTATAAACAGACCTGCTGAATCATAAGATTCTGGCCCCAGTGATCTTAGACACTTTCCTGAACCATGATTTATCTTATAGTCTTGGGTTTTAAACTTGACTCGAGGCCCACTGATGAGGATGTATGATGGGGAAAGATGTAGCATGCCTGGTTAGGTTAGAGTGAATAGTGGTCCAGAATATTACCTTTCCGGGGTTAAATGCATGTCAAGAACACAATGCTGAGAGATGATCAGTGTCCACAAAACCCTGTGATTTAGATGATCTCTTGACTATAACCCCTGACCTCATCATTTTCTTTAGAGCCCACAGTCTCACATTTACTTCAAACTCTTTATAGACATACATAGACAAAAGGAAATCATAGAGGTAAGATTGCTGGGACTCATTCCATCAATTCTCTTTCATTGAGTAGTTGAGGTAGAAGAGTCAATGTCTCCTTTTTAAAAAACACGATATTTGGTACTTGCAGCATCAAGGTCATTTAGCCACTCAAGTAGCACTTAGTTCTTACCCCAAACATTCTGGTTTCCTGTTTCAACACAATGTAGGGTGATGACATCTTATCCAAAATAGCAGAGAGTAAATGGAATCTATTTCTAAGAGAAAATATAGAAAAATAAACATAATGATTTTCTCAGGTAAGACACTTAAAAATCATTGAGAAATTTATCCTTGCTTTCTCTAATTTTTCACAATGAAACAATTCCCCGAAATAAGAATTCATAGTCAATCCATTGATATGCTCTTTTGGACATAGCTAATGTTCTCTTAAAACTTCTAATTGTCCTATAAGATTTTATTTATCTTTTACCCCCAACTTTAAAGGCACTTTGTGAGTTCTTATACTGCTCATATGCAGACAAAAGAATTTAACCTGTCTGGTTTAAGCAAAATAGGATATTAGTGAGTGTACAAAATCACTGGGAAGGGTAAGCTTATAGAATAATGCCCAGAGTCAAACCACCTATCTAGATTGAAGAGAGGGTGTCCTTGCTTCTTCCCACTTCAGAACTCTGCAGCAGATGTCAAACCTCTTCCTTGTCTCCCTGGGCAGTCATCTGTGCAAGCAGAATTGACACTCAGTATAGTGTCTCTTTTGTTTTCTTCCACATTTAACTCTAGTGCAAGGGCATGTGATTGGCAGAACCTAGATCAAATGCCTGCACTCTGACTGTCAGAGAAGCTGGAGGATATAATTTTTGGGATTCAACTTTTAGAAAAGTAATTTTCACAACTTAGTAACCAATAAAAAAATAAATAAAAGAGAGAGAGAGAGATATTCGAAAGGTTTGGCAGCCATGAATGATTTCTCTCTATTACTTCACTGTTGTGGACAAACTTTTGGAGGTGTGTCCCATTCACTCAGTTCATGCTTACTATCTGTAGGAACTAGTTCCTGTTTGTACCTAATTGGAAGAGAGGCAGAGAATCTGTCTCAAATTGGACCCATCAGCATCTCTTTCCCAGGAACTGTATATTTAGAACTAAGATATAGCCTTAGTCTGGGCTTATCTCTTGATAAGAAGATACAAACTCTTAAAACAGAGAGCATTAACATGTTCTATCAAATGGCTAAGAAGACATCCAGAAAAATCAGACATGAAAAACTGATGACTTTCAATTTTCTAGTTCTGATCCTTTTCTGAAACTGAGAGTTTTTTCTGCTCTTGGGTCTAGGAGACATTTCCATATTTCAAAAATGCATTTTCCTTTGCTTTGCTTATGCTAGTATGAGTTTTCTCTGTTACTTACAAACAAAATATTTTTTTATTCTTGGTTTGTCTTTCTAATAACTCTTCTCCTATGGCTTTGAGAATTCACTTTTTGATTATACAAAATCTTATGATCTTAATTCTTTTCCTACTTTAGATTTGTCAGCCTTTTGTCAATGGTCACTTTTGATATCTAAATCATAGGTTTCAAAATCTTAAACTAATTTATTTTCCAATTTACATCAACTATCAATTCTCAGGGATCAGTTACCAAATGGATGTACCAATGACATCTGAAAAAAAGAAAATGGAACACAATGAATGGCATGAATAATACAGGTGTTAGTACAAATCTCTCCTATTTCCCTACAACTTTCTCCAATTAGTTAATTATCCGAGTCCACTCTCCCACTATAGTTTTGGATACTTCTTTGGGGGTCTCTTTTCTGTATTTTGTTAGAAACAAGCTTATTGGCTATTTAGTGCCATTCTTTTGAATTATTCCCTCGAGCTCAGTCTAGATCATCATGAATTCATTCCTATGTGATAGCAGCAGCAATCCTAGTGTGCTGCCACTCACAGAAAGGTTCCTGGAGACTAAATGTCAAATACCATAGTGGTTGCTGCCATCTTTGTGGCTCCATCAGGCTGGGGGAACTGAGCTTTGTCTGTCTGCACTTGCCCTACAGCTCCAGGAGGGTGCTTCTCTTGAACCCAGTACAACTGTAGTAGCTTCTTGACCCCCCCCCCAATTGTCTCATTCTCCATATTGGAGAAGCCCCCAACTGTAACTTGCTAAAGAGTAGAAAAATACAACACAATAACCCAATAACCACAGTGGAGCCTTAAATTCAGAAGCTATACTATATGACCGAAGTGACATTTCTAAACTGGGAATCAAATGTGGAAATCACTTGCTTGAAACCTTTTGATGGCTCCTTGCGGTCTTCACGCTCCAGTACACATTCCTCTGTGTGGCTCATTAGTGCTGGTATGATTTGATCTCCATATTCTTAGGCTCCCATCCATTCTTGACCACTGACATTTCTACTACTATGTGATATTACACTCTTTGCTGCTTGTAAAACCTCACACAGTGTCATGTTATCTCGCTCTAGCAATGTATTGTAAATTGTTGGAATTTGATAGCTCCTTGCTCAAGCAACCTGTCAAATAAAATAAAATTTCTCTCTCTTGGTCTGTTATCACATTGTGTATAAGTGGGTGGAATTGTTTATGTGAGTCCTGTAACATATGTTTTGAAGGCCAGTCTTAAAGTATTTATTGAATTAATTTTGAGCAGCCCTAGAGGTTAGCACAAAGACAAATACAATTATCCTCCAGAGCAAGTGAATTTACGTTGGGAGGCAGTGGGGGAGGCTGAATGGGACACATGGCACATAGCAAGAATCCTTGGGTAGAGAAAACAAAGTCTGGTTTTGAGGTTGAGGGTCAAACTGAATTTAGGACATCTGAGTAGCAGGAACTGATTCCCAGAAGAGCCACTTCTTGCATGGGAACTCTCACTGGCCTCTTCCAAGTGGGCAGCAGCAGAATTTACTTATTTAATCACTGTTCAAGACCCCCCACCCCCAATGCTTGCAAACTCAGCTAGGAAAGGGAATACACAATCAGAGAAACTCTGAACTTATTGTTGTTGGAAATCAACCATCAGGAATATAAGTTTCTTGGAAGGGGAATATAGTCAAAAACATTATGATAAGTTTACATGGTGACAGATGATTACTAGAATTACTGGGGTGATCACATTATAAGGTGTGAAAATGTTGAATCACTATATTGTACACCTGAAATAATATAACCAATATAAGATTGTATACCAACTATACTTAAAAAATTAAAATAAGAAATTTTATAAGAGAGAAAAAAGAATATGAATTTCCATTTATATATTCTCTATTGCAAAATCTAACACACACCTTCTAAACTACAAAGAATATAGGAATATGGTCAAGAGGTGGAAGGCAAGACTCAGTTTTGTCACTACTTGCTTTATAACCCTGGGATCCCCAAGTCACTATACTTTTTGTGTTCTCCTTCTGTAAATTACCAACATGCCTTTATCTGAGAGGATACTGTGTGTGTAAAACGGGTCAGTTGTTGAGAACGCATATTGGAAGAAGGGCCACTGAAAGGAGAAAGTAAAAAGTAGCACGATGTATTAATTCGAATTCTTCCCAACTGTAAGCACTGGGTAACACTGGGACTTGGGGGTCGTTGGGAACACCTGACCCTCCCTCCCCCTCCCCCCGTATAGTTTTAGTCCTAGTACCAGTGACAACCTGGCCAAGGCTCCCTACACTCACGTGTAGGTTCAGAGGGGTGTGATGTCGCAGTTGGCTCCCTCGGCTGGGGACCGCGGCGGGGCCTCGAAGCCAAGGTACCCAGGTGGGCGCTGCTTCCTCTGGTGCCCCTCCCTTCCCGGCTCACGCGGTTCCAACGCGGCAGTTGTGGCCAAGAATGTGGCTGCTGGAGGCGCCGCGTGGAACACCCACAGCGCAGTGGGACCCCCGCGGCTCCACCGAGCCGCAGGCTCCCAGGACGAGCATGGAGTAGTGGTGACAGAGATGTCACCTTTCCTGGCTGTGTCAGCATCATACTCTGTCCCTGTATCTGGGCACACCAGGGGGAAGAGGCTGTGCTTGATATTACCCGCGGGCTGATCAGATGGCAGTCCTAGCCCTAGCTGCAGGCTGCTTTCTGTCTGACCCTTGGGGAAAAGGGTCTCATCAGAAGCCCCTTGCCACCAACCACCTCCTGCCTCTTTGGTCCTCGGTTGATTCTTTTGTAGAGTGGTGATAATTCCAGCACAGGTACTGCACAGGCTCCTGCCACAGGACTTGGAAGACTAACCTTGTCTGAAACATTCCACTGCTACCATCAAGGTTACATATCCTTCACACTGAACCCCACAGTTTGTTTGTAAATTCTCATCCAAGGACATTTTTTCCACTTATTTTCAGAGAGGGAGGGAGGGAGAAAGGGAGAGAGAGAGAGACAACGATGTAAGAGAGACACATCAACTGGTTGCCTCCGGCACGACTGACCAGGGCTGGGGACCAAACCGCAACTGAAGTGCATGCCCTTGATCGGGATGGAACCCACGACCTCTGATCTGCTGGCTGACACTCCAACCGCTGAGCCAAACCCGTCAGGGCGCCAGTTTACTTTTTACACTCAGTGTTTAACAACTATCCCAACACAGGGTAGGAACAATGAACTACAAAGTCTGATTTGAGTTGTTAAATTATTTGCATCCCAGGACTAATTACCAGTAGTAGATGGGACTGTTTGTGGAGCTCTTTTGTGTTTAGTGTTTTGCCAGTTAACTACTTCAATGCATTTCACTGAGTGCCAGTGTATGCCAGGCATTGTTCTCAAGGCTGGGGATACAGCAGTGAAGCAGATGAAATGCCCTTCCCTCCTGGGGGCTTATATTAAGAAAGGGGAAACCGATACTAACAAGATCCATAAGGAAAATGTATAGTATGTAACAAGTGACGAAAGATAAGGAGAAAAATTAAGCATGGAAGGGAGATAGGGCATGTGTGTGGATGAAGAGTGAGGAAAGTCCTCCATGGAAAGAGGGCATTTGACCAAGAAGAAGGTGAAGGTCAGAACCCTGTGGCTGTCTGGGAAGAGGAGAGGCAGGACAGTACCAGGGTGCTGAAGCAGGAAGTTGTGGTGGAGCAGGAAGTGAGGAGGGGAAGCCAGATCATACAGGGCCTTGGCAGGATGTTGGCTTTACCTGTGAGATGAGATACTATTGAAAGTTTTATGTTTAGCTTTTTATCATGAAAAATTTCAACAGCAGAAAAAATATGAT